AAGCCATCTGCAGTCACCCCTATTGATCAGAGACCTTCTTTTTAGAAAATTTCCCTTATCTTATTAGGTATTCTTTGAACCAGACATCCTCCCTACTTTATTCTTTTTGGCCTTATAACTCATTATTTCCAAAGCCTTCCTTCTACTTGCTCGTCATGGCCTTTCTTTACTACACATGTATTTTCTTAACCAAACTTAAGCTAACTTTAGTTCTTTAATTTTATACTTATCCTACAGGGGCCCTCAAAAGGGAGGTACTCAATGGTTCTTTGGACCTCTCAGGCAAACCTAAAGACTGGACCAAGGAATATCAACGCATCATCACAGGTATAGCCATTGCTCTAGCTGCTATCACCTGCATCGAAAGCTGCTTAGAAGGCATGTTTTGTCACTTGATGACCCTCTGCTATCCCTGACTTAGTTTCCTTCTTAACAGCCTCAGGAAGCTGATCCTGGTGAGACAGTTTATCCCAGGTGAGCAGTGGCACTGGAACAGTTTTAATAGTGGGGGTCCTGAAAGCCAGCCCCCTTACCCCTGTCTGCGCCCCTGCCCCCTGAGCTGGGGCTGGGAGCAGGGCCGGGTCTCCGGGAGGGTGGGACCTCCTGGAGGATAACAGCTTGGGGCAGGCACACAGCTGGCAGCCAGGACCCTGGGCGCGGGGCCGGGACCCTGGGCGCGGGCCGGGACCCTGGGCGCAGGGCTGGCAGTGGAGCCCCAGGCACGGGGCTGGGAGCCTGCATGTGGGGCTGGGAGCAGAGCTTAGGTGAGGAAGCAGTATTTAGCTAACACTGCCTTGTAGCTGGATATCCTCATCTGGAGGGAGGCTGAGGAGTATGCCTTTTCCCACAGAAGATTTAACCTCTTTGGATTTCTCTCCCTAGGTGTTGAACAAGGAGAATCAGATTATTGTTTTTTTCTTGCGGGTTGGGTGGTTGCAAAAGCATTCAAACCTCAGGGAACTTGGTATCTTCAGGCAGCTCTTTTGCAGGAAGGGAAGTTGGTGTGGAGCCACAGATCCTTTCGGGGCTCCAGAATGCCTTCATTTACAGGAATAGCTACCCTACTAGGGCCTGTAATATGTGGCACAAAACTGAGACTTTCTCTGCTCAGCTGCCAGCTCCAGGTCTAGCATTTCAGCAGTTCTCCCCATAACTATTTTTATAGTCATTAGGAGAAGTTGCTGGAGGAAACCACAGTGTCATCTGGGGATGAATAGAAGGGATAAGGAGGTCCTGTGGCAGGATACACACGAGTCTTTTCATCCTCCCATTCTTCAGAGCAGAATTGCTGAGGGAGATGCTTTGGAGCTCTCACAGGAAAAGAAAGTGTAACCATCCTGGCCTCTTTTCTGCCTTCTTGGGTGTTCAACCCCTTTCAGGTACAGGCAATGGAATCCACATGAGCCATAAGGCTATGGAGGTGATATGCCAGGAGGAACTGTAGCCAGACAGCCAGCCCCCCCTCTCAGACCAGCATTGCTGGGAACACAAGGGAGCCAAAACAACAGGGCACTTAACATAAATTCCAGCACAGCCTTTGGAGCTGTGAGAAGCACAGGTGTGCTGCTACAATGTGCCTCTGGGAACATATACAACGATTAGGCTCCCAGCAGACAGAGAAGCTCTGACAGACATGGCTCTTAGCCCCTACTAAATAGCGTGATGCACACACCCCAACATCCTAGGTGGGAAAATATTTACCCTAATAAAAGGAATGTCCAGTAGTCGAAACTTATTGTTTCTCTCCCTTGCAAGTGTAAACTACTCTTGCGAGAGCTGGCGTCACCCAGACAGACCAGCCCCAATTTGGCATAAGAAAGGAGAAGGAGAATAAAGGAGTACAGAGCTATAAGTATGGGACCTACAGCACCATGATTTTTGAGTGCTTTTCACTATCTATCTGCTGGTCAGATAAGTGACAGCCTCCCAAGGCTTCTGCAGCTAAGAGGGTCCCTAAGCCTTGTCCCTTATTCGTCTTTCCGCGGAATTGAGTGACCGATCCTGGCTTGGCACCGCTGGAATCGAGAGATGCAAGGAGGGTAAGAAGCACCCACACCTGATCTCCTATCTTTAGTGTACACATATTTTGAAATAGAGCTCTATACTTTGTTTTCTTTCTTTGGGATTGTGGCTTCAGTTTTGTAACTTGTTTGTGTGTGTAACATCTCTACATTTAAATAAGTTGGCACTAGCAATTTTGTTTATTTGTTTATTCTAGTTTAATAAATTTTGGTAACCATTTGTGCATAAGCCTGACTTGTTTCTCTGGTTTACTGTAAAGCAGCCAACACAATTAAAGAACCTCAGCCATTTTGGCTATAAAGCCTGGCCATTAGGTGAGAGTACTAAGAGCCTAGCGTTGAGTTGTGCCGCCTCCATGGGGCAAACTCTTGGGGCGCCTGTCAGTCAATCCTGACTGCCCACTGCGAAGGAGCTCTGAGCTCTAGCAGTTAAAGTCACGGGTGTGGAGAGGCTCTTAGTGCTGCCATTGGGGCACTTGTCAGTCAGTGTTGACTGCCCACTGCGAAGGAGCTCTGAGCTCTAGCAGTTAAAGTCACGGGTGTTTAGGACCTTGGGGCATCCGTCAGCCTAGCCCGGGCTGCCCGCTGCGAAGGGACAGAGTGTCCTAGCGGTTAAAGTCACGGATGGTATAAAACGGGCATAGCTGGCACCTCACCAAACATCCTTGGCCATCAGCTAACAGGAACCCAGGAAGCAGGAGGCATCCAAGAGGTAAAAGGAGCCTCACCAAAATGAAGATGCTGGAACTGAGAGATCCAAGGATGGACCTTGGTCCTGTTCCTGACAACAACGAGGTTAACTCTGGGGTGCTCTGGCTCAAAAACCTGCTGCACATGGATAGCATGTCAGGGACAACAGAAAGGGGCAAGTGGAGGCTTCTTTATTTTGTGCTGAGGAAGTAGTAGTAAGGGCCAAGCTGAAGAGAGGTGTGGATCTCCTCAGTGCTGAAAGGTCCCAGGAAGACACAGACGCAACAGTCGATGCAGAGGGTCCTGATGCTGAAGTTGCCAAGGTAGAAGAGGCTGCAGCACTTGGCACTGAGGAGGGATGGGCTGCTCTGTGCCAAGGACATGGCTGACGTATGGCTAGAGTAAAATGGAAAGAGGAATATACCTGGGGCTTCTTTACATTTTCGTCTTCACCAGTGAGGGAGAACCCTGATACCATAATGGGAAGCAGTCTGTGAGCCTGCTACAACTGCTGGACACAGAGGTAGAGGTAGTGCTTGTAGAAGGAGCTGATTCCTTATTGCCCATGACACTTGGCTTTGGAGAAGAGGACAGTCAGGTTGATTGGCTCTGAAAGGATGATTTCACAATATCCTTGGCATGGATTCCGGGGGCTTGGAGACTGGGGGTGTGTGTCCTTGCCCATTGGGGAACCACTGATCCTGCATCCTGATTCAGCCATGTGAGACGGAGATCTCAGTGTGGCTTTCTCTAGTATTTCTGCCCTTGAGGATGTTGCCTTTATGATTCTCTGTAAAAGATGTAATTGAGGCAGGTAACTAGGGCTTGACAGTCTGAGTACTAAAGAATTTACAAATTGGGCCCCAGCCAGGACATGCTCTTTTCCTTAATGGAAGAGGGATCTCATGTGGTCATCTGTGATGGACGTTAAACTACCGAACAAAAGACAGGGTTGAAGTCAGTTGTCTTGGCTTAGACCATTGAAAGGGTGTGCACGTCAGCACTGGGAACGCTTGATGGAGGCTAAGGAGGATGCTAAGTGCCCAGTGGATCAGGAATCTAACACAGACTCTATCTCTAACTCTATTTAAAATGAGCAGCTGCTTATAGAAAAAGAGCAAATTCTCCCACGGGGAGAAGCGAGGATCAAAAGGGCCCTCCAGAACGTGCTGCGCGCATGTGCCCCAGCAGGGGTGCCGGAACAATTTGTAGAGTGGGGGGGTGCTGAGAGCCATTGAACCAAACTGTAAACCCTGGATAGGATGGAAACCACATCAAGCCTGGGGGTGCGGCAGACGCAGCACCTCCCACCCCTAGTTCTAGCACCTAAGCCCAAGGCACCTCTACAGTGGGGACCTGCAGGGCAATCACCCCAAGAGCTCCATTCCCCTCAGCACTTGCTTTCCCGACCCAAAGCCCCATTGGCTGAAATCTTCTGTCACTCTCGCCTCTACTCCAGTCAGCTTCCTCAGGCTGGGGGTGGGGCTAAAGGCCAACTGCCAAACCTCAACTGCCACAGAACCTTGTGGAACCTTTTGACTTCAAGATTCCAGGTTCCTGATTGGAGCCTCTCCCTCCCAATCAGGTTCAGGCAGGGGTGGGACTTTCTCACAATCTCCCTGCCTCCAGCTCAGTCTGAAGGTCACTTTCTGCTGTTTCAGAGTAACAGCTGTGTTAGTCTGTATTCGCAAAAAGAAAAGGAGGACTTGTGGCACCTTAGAGACTAACCAATTTATTTGAGCATGAGCTTTCGTGAGCTACAGCTCACTTCATAGCTCACGAAAGCTCATGCTCAAATAAATTGGTTAGTCTCTAAGGTGCCACAAGTACTCCTTTACTTTCTACTGTGGTGTTTAAAAGCGGCTGCTGGTGTGCAGGGCCCCAGATGTGTATAACATGGTATCTTATGACCCACTCTGGCAGTCAAGTCCCGCATCCCTCTCTTCTGTCCCCACAGAGATCGGGTCACATGAACTAGCTGTCTCCCCCTCACTCACAGCTGCAGATCAAGTCACACGTTCTTACTGCTTCTCTTCCATATGACAAATCTCCAGACTTCCTTTAAAGGAGCGGCAGTTTAGTCCATGTTGGTGGGAGCAGGACACAGGCTGTTCTGTTAGTTACAGGGTGGGTGCTGTGGTTGTTTTCAGCCATGTCAGTGTGCCTCAAGACACAAGCTGCAGGACCCCCTGAAATATCCAATCACTATGTAGACAGTGTGGTCTAGTGGCAACAGCAAGGGAGTGGGCATTAGGACTCCCACCATTGCCACTGACTTGTTGTGTGACCTCAGGCAAGCCACTTAATTTCCTCATCTGTACTTTACAGGGAGCTTGCGAGGCTTCAGGAATGCTTATAAAGTTTGCTTTGAGATCTTCTGATGAACCCTGGCACATTATTAATTATGAGGTAGCCTGGTGGCCATTAGTCCTACTCCTGACACTGGGTGTCGCCTCTGAGCCATGGCTGTGTTGCCTTTAGCAACTTGCCTGCTGCTTGGGTTCTTTTCCTGGGGCTTGTCCTTTTACCAGCAGAAATGCGGAAAAACCAGTTCTGTGGTTAATTGCTGCACTTCCCTTCACGCCCACACTATCGGCCTTCTCCTCTTCCTCAGCTTACACACACCTCTGTCTCTTTCCCTCTGCTGTGCTCTGTCAATCCAATAGGGTTTGCTCTCCAATTTTATTAACCCTACTGATCCCTTGCCCCAAGCCCCTTCTCCCTTGGGCGAGCCAGTGGGCTTGATCACAGGTAGCTGCCTTCCTGGCCCTGCCGTGCCCTGCCCAAGGGCAGCTATTGGAGACAATGGCTGAAAAGGGTGACAAGAATATGAAAGCCCTAAAGGAGGTGTGGAGGAGAGCTGAGAATGCCTTGTGCGCAGACTGCGGGAAGCCAGGTGAGTCGCTGGGGTCTCAGTAACGTGGGTGGGGGAAGAGGCTGCAGCGGAGAGAAGGGGACAGTTAGCAGAGATGGGTCCAAAGTGGGGCTTGATGTTGGGGAGAGAGTTCCACGGGAGGGGCAGACAGAGTAGCCAGCTTTGGGGAGGAAGCTGAGGAGTAGGAGTCAGAAACTGTCTAGCCTGGGGGCGGGGGGAGCAGCGTGTCAGGTTGTGGTGGTTTGATATGGGCTGTCTGGAGGAGTTTCTCCTCCATGGATGGGGAAGGTATGGTGGGAGAGTCATTGGCCTAGCTGGACACTAGGTGTAGGGATTTGTTTTCTTGTGTGTGGAGACGGTACCTGGGTCGAAGAGATCCTACTGTGCGCAGTGGAGGAAGAACAGGGTCATCCCACTGCTTGAACTGCAGAAAGATGTGCAACCACATCACCTTGGGCTGCTGTCATGTCAGAGCTGAGTAATTACTTGGGGTCAGGCCCAGTCAGAATTTGACAGAGAAGTTTCTGAAGAAATTGCAGATGCTGCAAAAAGTGGTGAGTGATTCAGAAAGCCATCCTCTCCTCGGGGCCAGCACTGAACCAATGTCCTGCCATGGAGATATTTTTCTACTGGAAGTGCCATCTTTTGAAAGGAATAGAAATCCAAGGTTCTAATCCTGGAGGAATGTTAAAAGTTCCCATGGCACTTTCAGCAAAATGGGGGTCTAAGCCCCAAATTCAATTTTGGTAATTAATCACATTTTACTTTCCTAAATTCCTACTTGTTTCAACTGGATTCAGTGTTGTTCTTCATTTCCTGTGTTGAACAGTGATGTGTATTGCTATGCATTGTTAAATAGCTGCCATGTTCCACCCCAGAGGTGGCTGCATTTCTGTATTGGGTGAATGATTCTCAGAGAGAGCGAGAGAAAAAGAGAGAGTCTGTAAAGTTTTTTGGGATCCTTCAAAATAAAAGGCACAATATAGATATAAGATCAATATCCTACAGCTTGGAGCAGCAGGAAGGATGGAATGATAGTGATGTATTTTATTAGGGGGTATCTATTCCCCAGCAGGTGACTAACTCAGCTCACATGACATTGAGGTTATACAGCCCTCTGCATCTATTTCCCTAGGAGCCTTGATAGCACATTTCTCAGTCATGGCATATCTCCCTTGAATACCTGCTACTGATCCCCTTTTTATTTACCCTCAGATCCTGACTGGGCATCTTATACTTTGGGTGTCTTTATCTGCGTGAGCTGCTCAGGGATCCACCGCAATATCCCTAACATTAGCAAAGTTAAATCCTTGAGGATGGACCACTGGGACGAGGCCCAGGTGCAGGTGAGAGTCTTCCTATCTGCATCCCTGCTGCAGTGCAACTCAAGTCGGGGTTCTTTGTTCATAACACTCAATTTCTTGGGTCCTGTGAAAGTGAAACTATGTGATCAGGCCTTTTGAGTCATGCTGTTGGACATTCATTTTGATTTCATAACTAGCCTCTTTGCTAGTAGTAGGGTTTTAATACCCAAGTGGAGATGATTTGCCCCAACCCATCCCTCCAGCAACTTGATGGACGATGCACTTACCCTTTGGTGGGCAGAGTGAAAGCAATGGCACTGCACAGTGATGAGCTGCCAAAATCTTAACAACGGGTTCCCTCCTCACGCCATGAGGGGGTCGTTGCCCACCCCCGCCCCCTGGGACTCCTGCCCCATCCAACCCCCCACATTCCTTGATGCCCACCCCCAGGACCCCTGTCCCATCCAACCCCCTCCCCTGTCCCCTAACTGCCCCCAGAACCGGGCAGGAAGGTCTCGTGGCCCACCATAGTGGGTGCCCACCCTTAAAAGCCAGAGGCACCTGCCGGGGGGGCGAGGTGGGGAGTCCCGGAGGTACTTACTGAAGCATCCAGCAGGTCCCTCTGGCTCCTAGGGGCGGGGGAGCATAGCTGGGAGGGAGCAGCTGTTCCCCCACTGATCACATCAAAAGTGGCGCCTTAGGTGCCGACTCCCTGGGTGCTCCGGGGCTGGAGCACCCATGGGGAAAATTTGGTGGGTGCTGAGCACCCACCAGCAGCTCCCCACCCCGCACCCGACCCCAGCTCACCTCTGCTCTGCCTCCTCCGCCGAACGCGCTGCCCCGCTCTGCTTCTCCGCCCCCTCCCCCTGCCCTGGCTTCCCGCGAATCAGCTGTTTGGCAAGAAGCCAGGGCAGGCTGAGAAGCAGGCGGCGGCTTCCCGCTCAGGCCAAGGGTGGCAAAGGTGAGCTGGGACGGGGAGCGGTTTCCCTGTGCGGCCCTCCCACCCGGGTTACCTGCTGCGGCGCGGGCGGCCCTCCTCGTGCCCCCCCGCCGCAGCTCACCTCCGCCTCCCTGGGCCTGAGCGGGAAGCCGCCGCCTGCTTCTCAGCCTGCCCCGGCTTCTCGTGCGAACAGCTGATTTGCGGGAAGCCTGCAGGAGAGGAGAAGCAGAGCAGGGCGGCACATTCAGGGGAGGAGGCGGAGGTGGAGCGGAGGTGAGCTGGGGCCAGGGATGGGGCAGAGAGCTGCCGGTGGGTGCTCTGCACCCACCAAATTTTCCCCTTGGGTGCTCCAGGGCTGGAGCCGGCGCCTAAGTCGGCGCCTAAGATGCCACTTTTGGCTGGTTAAATTTAGAAGCCCTTTTAGAACTGGTTGTCCCTCGTGGAACAACCGGTTCTAAAAGGGCTTCTAAATTTAACAACCGGTTCTAGCGAACCGTTGCGAACTGGCTCCAGCTCACCACTGGCTCTGCATTATTCCTACGTCATGTTTTTTTATGACTAGGGTGGAAGTCTGCTTGAAACATACCTTGCCAAGACCCAGGGTCCCCTTGGCTGCATACAGCTGATTCCCCACCAGTAAACACCATGGAGACCAGGCCCTAGGTCTTATGCAGGACTCAATAGTCTAAGCATGGCACCCCTTCCACCTCCACCTTGGAAGGCTCTGGGAAAAGCTTCCAAATAGTGCTGGATTAATTGGGATCTATGGGAGCTTGACTTCTCCGCCCACTGTTCCCCTGGGCATTCACCAGGTCTTCCAGACAGCCATACAAAATCATCCGTATAGCACCACTCTTTGGAAAGGAGCTGGGAACTCTGGGATATGTTCCCAAAAGGCTTTGCTGCTGCCACAATACATGGGATGGAACCTCAAGAGCACTAAACAAATGTACACACGCCAAGTGCGTGTGCACTGCTCCCACGTTAACCACTTTGGGGATAATTACATTGGGTTCAGTACAATCGATGTAAGTCTCTAACTCAGACAAGGCCTTTGAGACTTGATAGACACCAACCCTTGTGTAGTCACTCATCCAGGGACATTTCAGTGGATGGGGAGGGGGATCTGCTTAGATAGCTACACCCTGCATGTGGGGGGTGGGAAAGGCCCACAGTGCAATTTGCATCAAAGGGAAGGCGCTGACTCTCTTGTCTTATTTTGCAGTTCCTGGAGCAGCATGGGAATGTGGTGGCTAAAGCCACGTACGAGGCTCACATCCCCATTTACTATTACCAGCCGACTCACGCCGACTGCCAGTAAGAGTGGTTATTTAAGAGAGAGTGGTCACTTCTGGGATCCTTCAGTCTGTCACTAAGCCCCACATTTTGTCACCCCACAGAGTCCTGAGGGAGCAGTGGATACGGGCCAAGTACGAGCGCAAGGAATTCACTGAGCAAGGGAGACATCTGCCGTATTCCAACGGTAAGAGCACGGCATGGATTTATCCCTCACATTTATACTTCCCAAGCCCTGGCTGTGTGTTGACAGGGCACTGTCATGAGAAAGCTTGCAGTACTGACATCTCCGCTGGCCCGGTCAGTGCTACTGTGAAGGAGCTCACATTCTGGGTTGTACTTACAGGGCATTATTTTGAGGAAGCTCATGGTGCTGACATCTTGGCTGGGCACTGCCACAAGGAAGCTCACAGCACTAGTGTCCCAGATGGCACTGATGGGGCACCAACGTGATGGAGTTCACAGTGCTGGTCTGGCCAGGGCCCCAGTGTCTTCCTCCACCCCACTCCCAATGACCACAGTGGTCATATTTGAAGTTCTCCTGTCCGTGCAGCAAAGCAAAGTCCTGCCCCCAAGGGCATGCAGAACGAAGCAGGCAGAGCTCTGGGTCAGTGCCAAGTGCCTACGTGCGTTGGGCTGGGAGGCTGAGGCATACATGCGGAGAGCGAGCTCTCTCACACACCCCATCACTCGCAGCTAGGCAGGCTCCCAGTAGGCGAGGAGGAGTGAGGGGAATGCTGGTGAACATGTGCTCCATTGCGAGGTGTCTGCCAGGGAGCTGGGAGACAAACCGAGGAGCACTACCCATGGAGAGGTTAAAGTCCTTGTCCCCCATCCTTCCCCTCACACTTTCTCTCCCTCTCCCCTCTGTAGCCAGGCACAAGAGAGCCCGGCACAGGGCCCCATCCCTCAGACAGAGCTTTCCACTGGAGATACTCTGCATGGCACTCCACCACACACGCAGTCTGCAAATACTGGCTGATTGTAGCTCTCTAGTGCCCACTGTGGCCAATAGGACTGGTCTCAGACTGGCCTCTCTGTTCCTAGGACTGAAGGAAGGGATCCTATGGAAACGGGGCCGGGATAACGGGCAGTTCTTACTCCGCAAGTTTCTCTTGTCTGAGAGAGATGGGTGTCTCAAGTACTTCTCCAAACCGGACGTGAGTATGGTCTGCTTGGGGGGCAGCTCCTGCCTCTCAGTGCACCCCAACCTGGGGAGAGTGCCCCTTGCTGGTGCCAGGGAGTCATTTATATTCTCCCTACACAGTCCAGAGGACTCCCCTTGCACCTTCAGAGTCCCCCACGCTGGGACACAGTGCCCCTTACTGGTAAAAGGGAGATAATTTCCATTCTCTACATTCCCAGAGGGATTCTCCCTTGGTGCTGCCAGCACAGCCCAACCTGGGGAGAGAGCCCCTACCTCGTGCCATGGAGACACACTCCCTCTGCTGGTGCTAGGAAGCCTTTCCACTCTCTCTGCCCTGAGGACTCCTCTCTACTTGCCTTGTCAGTGCCCCTCAGTCTCTAGCCAATGGTTTCTATCCCATCTGCATCTTTAGGGCCAGATCTCACCAATTCCATTTCCTTTCTCAGGCAAAAGAGCCCAAAATAAATATTAAAATTGACACCATCAATGCCACATTCCAGCCAGTGAAGATCGGGAACCCCAATGGCCTGCAGATCAGCTACCTCAAGGACAACAAGACCCGCAATATCTTCCTTTACCACAAGGATGGAAAGGTACAGGGGGCTGTCCTAGCCCCAGACAGCAATCCCAGCCTTTAGCAGTAGCAAGTGCTGGAGTGAATGGTGTAGGAAAATGCTGGCAGAATCACTGTATTAAATGTTGTGGGAATGCTGCATGTGTGTGTGTGTCACTGGAGGGAAAGGGGCTGGAGGACTGGCTTGGGGATGAATTGTTCTTGGGCAGGGGTTCTCAAATTGGGGGTCGGGACTCCTCAGAAGGTCACGAGGTTATTACATGGGGGGTCGCAAGCTTCAGCCTCCACCCCAAACCCCGCTTTGCCTCCAGCATTTATAATGGTGTTAAATATATAAAAAAGTGTTTTTAATTTATAAGGGGAGTCACACTCAGAGGCTTGCTGTGTGAAAGCAGTCACCAGTACAAAAGTTTGAGAACCACTGCTCAAGGGTATAATTTAGGAGCCACTGTAGAGACTGGTATATAGGCTTTTGGGAGGAAACCGAGGAATGCTGTAAGAGTGTGGGCCACAGGAGGAGTTCATACATATTCCCAGGGAGTTGGCTGGAGGGGTGGGTTGGGTGGTTCGGCACTGGTCACTCTGAAGTTCTCTGTCCTGCTTCCCTCCGCAGGAGATAGTGGACTGGTTCAATGCCATACGCGCAGTGCAGGTTCAGTACCTGAAGGTGGCATTTCCCGTGGCCAGTGACAATGAGGTAAGAAATCACCTGAGAGTAATAACCAGCCCTCCTGCTGGTATCTAAAGCCACTCAGATAGAGGAACTTCTCTGTTCTCTGAGTCCTCTGGGGAAGGAGTCACTACTGTGGCTTGGCTAATGTTCCCTCAAATTTTTTACATCCATGTGCGGAATTAATTTTGCTATTTGCACCAATATGGAAGTGATGTGTGGTGGCAGTGGGGCCAAGGAGTTCAGAGTGTGGGAGGGGGCTCGGAGCTGGGGCAGGGGGTTGGGATGTGTGAGGGTGGTGAGGGCTCTGGCTGGGGATGCGGGCTCTATATGGCGCCAAGGATGAGGGGTTTGGGGTGCAGGAGGGGACTCAGGGCTAGGGTAGAGGATTGGAGTGCAGGGGGGAGGTAAGGGCTCTGGGTGGGGGTGCAGGCTCTGGCATCCTAACAGTGGTGCGGTTAGAGGGGCCTGAGATGGGCAGAGAAGAGCTGCTCTCTGACATATCCCACGGAGATAGCCCTCTCCCCTGACAAAGCAGGGAAGGTGACATTAGCAGATGGAATTTAGAGAAGGATAGAGAAGAGAGGAGTTGGAGCGCTGAGGGCAGGCTGAGAGGGAGGGAGTGAACAAGAAGAACCAGCTAAAGTGAAAGATGTGCTGGGATATACCATTCTCCTTTTATGCAGATCAAAAGCCGACTAATGCAGAAATTCCTGAAGGAGGGATACATGGAGAAGACTGGCCCCAGGGTAAGATGGGATGGCACAAGAAATCTAACAGAGGGGGAGTTGCCACAGAGAAACTAGGGTTCCTGACCTGCCTGGGTTCATTTCAGCATCCTCATGTTTGTCTTCATATCCCCAGACTTCTCCAAGATCCACGGCAATGCTGCTCTGTGCCTCAGCTAGGGCACAGCTGGGGTCTCATCGGGGAGCAGTGAGGGTGGCAATGAGGAGATGCAAAATTAGATGAACATGGAGGCTGAATTCCTCACTCATCCCACAAGAGTGGGTTTATTAAGTGTGTGTACATGTGTGCATGTGGACCTTGGAGACTGAACTTCCCTGTCACCTGAGCGCAGGGGCACTTTGAGTGAGAAGTCTGTATGTTGGTGGAGACACTCAGGATTGAAAGAACATGGGTACTGAATCCCCTTCTCACCTCAGCAGAAGTGGGCTCCCTCCAGGGCAGGGATTTTGAGCCCAGTTTGTGTGTCTAGATGCAGCCCAGATTTAAATGAAATGCAGTAGCAATTCCCCTCTTTCCCCCGCAGAGGGCACTCTCCTCCTACAAATGTCCCCTCTTCATCTCCACAGCAGAGAGAGGCCTTTAAGAAGCGCTGGTTCACACTGGATCACCGCAGACTCATGTACTTCAAGGATCCATTGGTAAGTCAGAACTTGGATTGCATCCAGCTCTATCGTGCTGTGCTCTGGGGCAAGGAACAGCCAAAGGGTTCCTTTCCCTAGTGAGGTGGAGGTGAGACACAACTCCCCAAATGTCCATCAACAGATGCTTGGCCTCCCCATTCCACACACATCTCTCCCCACCCACCCAGTCCAAGCCCCCGTGCTTGCATCAGTCCTGCAAGCAATGGGAACAGGGTTATAATAGCGACATGGTGGAAGTGACGCTATCTCAAGATAGCAGAAAGAGGGACAGGAGACCCTTCTTATCCAACCATCCTCTGCGTAATCCCCCCTTAATGCCCTTCCAGAGCCTCCAGTTCCTCCCTCCACATTCTTTGGTCTCTTATTCCAGAGATCATTGCTCAGTGCCCCCATCCCAGATCCCATCCCTTCTTAGTTGCTTCCTCTGAATATAACTCCCCTGGTGTTCTGAACCTCCAGTTCCCTTTATCCCGTTTGTTGTCACTCCCCCTCCCCTTAGACCTTCTGCACTCATCTGCTCTGCCCCGTCTCGCAAACTCCCCTAGCTCAGGCGCTGCTGGGACCATGACTGTTTGGATGCCTGCAAATCCCTCCCCATGACAGATCTGTCTTTCCCTCTTGCTGTTCAGGATGCATTTGCTAAAGGCGAAGTGTTCGTGGGCAATAGGGAGCATGGATACAGTGTCAAGCAAGGGCTGCCAGCAGGGGCTCAGGGCAGCTTCTCCTGGCAGTACGGCCTCACCATCGTCACCCCCGACCGGGAATATCTCTTCACCTGCGAGACTGAGAGTGACCAGCAGGACTGGATCGCGGCCTTTAGTCAGGTCATTGAACAGCCCATGACCCCCCAGGAGTATGCAAGTAAGTGTCAGGATGGTGTTCACTTCTCTCCTCCTGCGCCCGCCCACCAGCCTCATAACAGGCAGAACTGAGGCTGGCCTAGCTCCCTGCTCTGATAAACCCTCTGTTTGCCTTCCCTACAGTTGAAGCCTACTTCAAGCTCAGCTCCTAAGAACCCCCCGGAGAACCTGACTACAGCTCTATCTGCCTTAGCCCTGAGAGAGGGTGCTATGGGAGAGAAGAGGAGCTGTGTACCAGAGAATCTAGACTCTCCCAGTACATCATGGTTTGGAGCACTTTTTCTTAAACAGATCAACCAACCTCCCTTTGTTGCTGGGGGGCAAATTAGGCTGTACCCCTTTAAATGGAAGACACATTCCAAGACTGAACACTCAAAGCAACTAGTCACTGAGACCACTCCTAAGCAGTGTTGTGATCGAACTGGAGACTGGAAGGGTCTGTCATCCAATCAGGCTTTGAAGGTTTGCGTACCACAGGTGGTGAAGGAGGCGGGGGGGTGTTGTCTTTTAAACTTCCGTTATTGTACCTTACTGGAAAAGGGGAAGCCACCATAAAAGTGGAAACAGCCAAGCACGCAGTCAACATGGGTGGTTTGCAAGGTGGAGTGCAGCTCTGGCAGTCAACAGCTATAGCCTTGTCAAGTTACATATTCACAGGCAACCTTCCTCCAGAATTCTGCTGCAAAGATTAAAGTATTGTGCATGTATAAATTAGGGGATCATTGATACGAGTATGGGGAAGACACTATATGACTATCGATGGTATGGCAAAAGCTGAGACTGTTTTCATTCTGAGCTGTACGTTTTAACAGTTGTGTGCATTCCATGATAATAATACCTAGCTCTTATCTAGCACTTTTTAGCAATAGACCTCAAAGCACTTTACAAAGGAACAAGTATCATTATCTCCAGTTTACGGATGGAGAAACTGAGGCACTGGGAGGTGAAGTAACTTGCTCAAGGACCCCGAGCAGACCATGAGAGAGCTGAAAACAACCCAGGTCTCCTGATTTCTAGTTCAATGCTCTATCCACTAGGCCACACTGCCTCCATAGAAGTGTAATCCACTGGATTGGCATGTGGGTTCATGTTCTCCTATTAGTGCCTGGCCCCAACAAGTATAACAGCCTACTACTTACACATAGCTAAAGGAGTTCTTCACTAGCTCAAGCAGTAAAGGCCCGTGTTTTGGATCTGGAAGTTGCAGGTTCAACCCCTACGGATATCTGATGTCTCCCTGGTTTAGTACACAAGCAGCATGTGTATGTACATAGTGTCTATTAACAGGGGCTAACTGGACTTAATGGTGCATTCAGTAATGTAATACACAGAAAGAAATTAATAAAAAAATCTCATTGTAGTTTATCTTTGGTTAAGTGAACTCCTGTTCTGTTAAAAGTTAACCCAAAGGACTCCTTCTTGGAGGAAAGAAGATAACATGATAGCAGCATAAAGGGGGCAGAGTCTGTATTTTTCTGCAGTGAGCAGAGAGGGCGATGACTATTTCCATCAGAGTCAAGTGACACCCTACAAAGAATTAATGTAGCCAGGCTTCACTTTCCTTCTCTGCCCCTGTCGGGGGAATCCCTTTCTTCCTTTTGGCCTGGAAACACCATGATCTGAGGGACTTTCCATCTTCTGACGGAGATCACCTCACCTTCAGGGACGAAGACAGGGGTTGACAGCCTCGCTCCCCTGGCATGATGGCACTTTCTTCCATGAGGGTAAAGCTCATCTCTGCAGGAGCCAGAGCTCTCTCAGGGGCTTGTCTGAGATTGTGGCATGAACTCCCTCAGGAACTAAGGACCAACACAAACCCCACCCCTTCCTGTGTAAGTGCAAGGTGCGTTTCTTTGTCCTGCCTTCGTCCAGTAAAAACAGCAGTGTGTACATTAAAAAGAACAACCCCCCTGAAGCAAAACCTTACGAAAACAAAACACTCCACTGCACACTTAATTCTCCCCCTGGGGAGAGGATGAGAGCAAGAGAATGCACCACGTGACACATATTGGTCATAACGCTTAGTGAATCCTGGGACGGCACTCAGATACTACAGGGTTGAGGGCATTAGAGACCCTGTACAGACTGCTTCCCCCACCTGTTGTTGTACACTCTAATCCCTGCGATACTGCCAATAACTAGATACAGTCAGGGGGATTTGGCTCCAGCACAGATAAGCAACAATACTGAGGATGGAATCCAGTGGATCAGGAGGCTCCCAAGAAGCCTCCCCAATATACACACAATGGTACATTTGATAACTCTGGGTTACATGTAGGCTTATACTATGCAAACCCATGCTTTGCTTATGTAACCCCAGCCTCAAACCATGGCTGTCCCCAACTGGATAGCGAACATGGCACATGTCTGGGCAAAGGGGATGGATGTGGGAAAGTCAGTAAGATGTAGTAGAGTGTGCGGACATGCACAATCCAGTTCATCCCATATCTAAAGGAGCAGCTCAGCTAGCAAAGGGACGCTACCCTCTAGAAAGGCAGATCCCTCATATTCCACTAGGGGGCAGTGATGCAAACAGAGACACCCCATTGTAGGTACACTGGGTTGAGGGGTAGTGGACAGGGTATCACATTTTGGGGGTCTATGAGTGGTGCTCACACCCCATAAAGTGCTGTTGAAAATGGGACAAGTGGTGGACGCCAGCCCCATCAGCAGCAGAGGGAAATCTTGCCCCAGTGTATGGCTATTGATGGGGCATATGTGGGGCTTTACAGTGCAAAGCACCTACTGCATTGATTCAACCCCAAATGCCACTCCACAGTGTGCCCAGTCCACCCAGGTCCCCCTTGGAGAAGGAAGCAGTACATATGCCTCTTTTCCCATCCCCTTCCAGGTTAGGGGCAGAAAAGCAGTGTGTTGGCTGCCCTGACAACTTGTTCCCTATGAACACATTTCCAACACTGACCCTGGCATTTCTAGTCTGACTCTGGGATGCAGTGACTTTCCCTGATGCTCTCAGCCAGCCAAGGGAGTGGGAGTGTCATCCTAAGGTCTAAAGCCTCATTCAAAGGAGTGAAAGAAGAAGTAGCAGCTGCAGAGGGGAAAATTAGAGGCAGGACCAAAAGAGTGAAAAGAAAGAAAGAAAAGCGACAGGAGGAAGAAAGAAAAGGAGAAAGATCTGATAGTGGGTGGAGGAGGGGGAGAAATCTAATGCAACTCCTCACCGAGTGGCTAAGAGCCCAGTACAAACTCTGAGAGTGTTGACACTTGGGTGTTAAGCTGTGAGTTATACAAGTTCCTCTGCCCAGAGGGGATGATGGGATAGTTTTGGGGTGGGGGGCGGGGGGGGGAAATCACAATTTTCCTGTGGTTTTCTCCAAGCTGAGAGGAAGGAGAGATCCAGAAGAAAGACAAATTACTTGCCCACTGAGGAGGAATTTCTGTTCGTCTCCAAGTGCCAGTGAACACTGGGGAGGGGAGATGAAGGTGAAGGTGAAGAGAGCAATGGCACCTCACTGGACATGGACGGGTATTTAGCTACCCTGGATCTGAAGGCATACACCTCTTCTCAGCTCCATGGTGGTGTGACAACTGGTAAGGTATCCTGCTGAGCCGGGCTTGTAAAGGATTGGGACAAACTAATGAGCTGTATTGTTTGGTGTGAGAAATAGACTCTCCCTGAATGTTTTGGTGTCAGGTCAGCCAAGATCTCTTCTCACTCCTTCCTTCCCCAGCTGTCCCTACATTGCGTCTACCGGAGTCCCACACACCAAGGGGAAATGTATCTCTGGCAGCGCATGTTGTAGTTTCTCTCGTTACCAGAACGTGTGTTGTGACCCTGGGCCAGTGATGGCAGAGGCGGGAGAGGAAGCACAGTGTGGTAATTTCTCAGATGATGGTCCTAACTTAGAAGAGGATAGCCCAGTTACTGGGCTCTTGGGCACCATCCTGACAGTCATGTGCCTTTTTGGGATGACAGGGAATGTCTACACACTAGTGGTGACATCCAGAGGCGTGTCTGGCCACTCAGCTGGCTCCCTGTGTGTCTATGTGGTCAACCTAGCCCTGGCTGACCTACTCTACCTCTCCACCATCCCCTTCGTGGTATGCACGTACTTTGCCCAGGATTGGTTCTTTGGGGATATGGGCTGCAGACTTTTGCTCAGCCTGGACCTCCTCACCATGCATGCCAGCATCTTCCTGCTGATGGCCATGAGCCTGGAGAGGTACTGGGCAGTGACTAGGCCACTAAGGGCCAGGCAGACCGGGAACAGCTGCCGCAAACTCACCAGCCTGGCCCTCTGGCTCCTCTCGCTGCTGCTGACTGTGCCCATGATGGTCATGATCCAACTGCGGGACAGCAGCAGCCACAACAAACGGATCTGCTTCCCCACCTGGACGCCCGAGGCCTTCCGCGTTTACCTCACGGTGCTCTTCATCACCAGCATTCTGGCTCCTGGCCTGATCCTAGGCTTCCTGTACTGCTGCCTTGCCCGAGCCTACTGGACCTCAGTGGGGGCCATGCAGCCGCGGGTGACAGGCCGGGCCTTGAAGCAGAAGCTGTTCTCCAGGATTTTCAGCATAATTGCAGCCTACTGGGCCTGCTTTGTACCCTTCTGGGCCTGGCAGCTCGCTAAGCTGTACTGGAGTGAGGGCCTGGGGATCAGCCCTACCGCCCAGGCATACCTTAACTTTGGAGTGACCTGCCTGACCTACGGCAACAGCTGCATCAACCCATTCCTCTACACCCTGCTCACCCGGAACTACCGAGAGCACCTGGCCCATAGCGGGGAGAGGCAGGCTGGGGAGCAGGCCTTCTTCTTGACAGGGAACCAGGGTAGGGCCCAAGCAGAAGGCATGCCCATGGCCTCCAGGGGACTGCCAGGTGGGGGGCTTGGGAAAGGAAGGTGGGGGGAACCTCTGGCAACTAAACTCCAAGAACAGCTGCAGCCAGGACTTAATGCAGCTTTCTGCTGATGCTTATAGTCTCCCAAGGAATATTAAATCCATCTCCAGCTCTGCCTTCTGCACTTACCTGCAACGTCTCCTGTTCTCTTACCGAGCAGCACTGATTGGCTTTGACCTGGCACCTCCTCCTTCCCAAATATCTCAGAGCCCCTGCTCATTCGCTGTCCATTATAGCCCTCCCACCCACTTAACCTACTACCAGCCCTTGGTGCTCTCCAAGAAAGAGACGCTCCTTTGAATGTTAATGGTTCCTCTTGTGGATTCTTACTTGGCCCTCTGCTTGTGGGAGAAAGGGAATTCAACCCTAGGCTTCCTCCCCCCTAGACACACAGTTGAGGCCTCTCACCAAAAAGCGAGCAGGTGGAGAGAGCAGGAGGACCAGCAGCTGATTCCAAACAGGAGGGCAGACACACATGTGCTATGAGTGTCTCTAGTGGGGAAGCCTGCTCCCTCCACTCTGGCAACAGGCTGAGCCGTGGTGAGCTCTGGCTAGCAATGAGTCACTGCAGGCTCTGGGGAAGATTAGCCTGCAGAGTCATTTCCAGCAGTACCGAATTTAGCATCAAGGCTGGACTAAGGGGCCAGGCTCCTGGAATCTCAGCTTTCAGGCAAATAAATGGCGCTCCAGGTGTGACCAACGCACTGATGTTTGCATGAGATGGCCTGAAACAAGGGCTAGGAGAAGCATGAACAGCTGTCATTCATTTTAATGGGGAAGGGACTGAACCCCCCCACTTCTTGGGGGTGGGGGGGAGGAATGAGCTGTGCACAACCCTCAGCAGAGACATCTGAGGGTAGAGCCTCCCTAACACCCCTTCACAGGCAGGGTGAGAGAAAGTCCTGCTCAGACAGGTGGAGAGACTGTCCTACCTCCTCCTGGAGATATGTGTCTGCCTAAAGATAGGGAGTGATGGTCTAGGGAGCTGGATGAAGCCTCTGTGGCCCAAAGAGCAGGCCCCTAGCCAGCCCAGTAGACAGTTTTCTTGTGGGTGGTCCCTGCAGCTAAAACCCCCAATAGGGGCATGGCTATGGCACAGGGGCAGGCTGGGAATTGCCTTAGTTTGGCCCTGTTTAGCAATTAGCATGAATATGGGGACATAGTCCCTGGCTTTCCCATGTTCCCCACCCATGGCCAGCCCTTGCTTTTAAGGCAGCACAGATCCAGCAGGAGGGGGGTAGAACCTGGGTGGAGGGCAGGGCCAGGCTCAGGCCAGCTGACTGGCTTACCCACAGCAGGAAGAGGAATGTATCATGTGTTTGTAACATGCCTCATCATCACATGCCCAAGATGGAAGGAGTAGGGAGTGGGGAAGAGTCTCACCATGCTAGGACTAGCCTGAAAGAGGCACACAGGGTCACTGGCACATTAACAGGGATGACAAAAGCACAGCTTACGTGCCTTGCCCTAGGCAACAGCTCCTGGGAGTAGGAGTGTGGCTCACACTCAGTGCTGACAGTGCAGTCTAATTTTGCTGTGGGAAGGGGAAGGTGTGGGCAGGGGTAGACGTATGCTGCAGCCCAGCCAGCATGCTGCATTACCTTTTCTGCACAAAGGAAAGCAGTAAGCACCACAGAAATTGGCTCTTATGGGTGCTACAAAACAATCCGAGCCCACTGTCGTGGCCCCTATTTTCCCCCTACCACCTAGTCTCTGACAGATCCGTGCAGGAGCAAGCATGCCTAGCCTCTGCTTCCACCTCCATCGTTCTTATTCTGCAAGCACCCAAGTGCTACAGCAGCGCACGTGGTGAAGAATCTCTAGCCCCCAGGAGAGAGCTCTCTAGTCAGCCCAATAAAACCACCTCTAAGCGGTGGCAGCTATGTCGGTGGGAGATGCTCTCCTGCCAACATAATGCTGTCCACCCTGACGCTTAGATCAGTGTAATTAGCATTGCTCAGGTGGCTTATTCAAATCCCTGAGCGATGTAGCTCTAGTGGCATAAGTGGTAGTGGGTACAAGCCCTCAGTGCCACAGATGTCATGCTTGGACTTCAAAGTAAACTAGTAGAGGGGGACCCTAGTGTAGTCTGTAGCATGGGCAGGGTACACACTAAGCAGGGACAATAGGTCAATTATCTTGGAGCGTGGCTGGCAAAGAAGTACTGTACTGCTCTTAGTGTAACCCACACCTCTCCTGGGTGTGATGTTCTGTCCCATCTAGTGGCAGCGAGACCACTTAGAGAGAGGTTAAGGAGTCTGCTCTATAGCCTTAGCTAATGGCCACTTGGCTTTTAGTTCATGCAGTAGAGGCTCCTGTACTAAGCTCCAGAGGTCCCTGGTTTGATCCTGCCCACTGATGACGGCAGTCTGTCAGTGTTACACTAGTGCTCCTTTAGGATGGCTAGCAGCCCTGGGAGACAGTACAGTGTGTGTTGTGGGAGTGAGAGGGGCCTTTACAAACAAATGTAGGTAGAAGGGAGACAAACCTAGTACACCCCACTCCTGTGCCTCCGTACAACTCTACACATTCAGTGTTGACAGGGGGGCAGCCACCGTTATTCTAGTCGAGGTCTTAGACCTCTTGAGCTGTTTAGTGAGGTGTAGAGTTAGGACTAGACACATTTACCAGACTCCTCTCAATCTGAAGGAGTGTGAAGCTAAATCCTGATATTAAAAAAATTAATGCAATAAGCTAAGTAGAGCAGCTCTTAGCTTTGTTAGTGCCAAGCACAGCCAGACGGCTATAGAAAGTACTTTGTTATTGATATTTTGGTCACATTATCCTAGTCCTTCAGGAAGTCCACCCTCCAGTGTCCCCAGAGAGGCTACTGGGCAACAAGCCAAATGCAGGCCCAATTCCACTCAGCTACACAAGGTGCCATCAGGTCTGACAGAAGTAAGTGACAAACCCACAGAATGGCTGTGGGAAATGCAGCAGACACAAGAAAGAGCTAGTCACTAGGTTTAGTAGACCAAATTCAGTGGTATTTATTGTGTTTCCTTTTAAATATCCCTTTGGGGAGTTATTCCAACTGGACGGATTTGATTGTGAAGTCACCTTCTGCATTCAGGAAATCGATGACCTGGAGACCCAACCGGTTAGGGAACTTGAACTGCTGGTTGTTTGGCAAAGTAATGGTTAGATTACTTGGGTCATGAGTGAAGAAGATCTGCAAGGGAGGAACAGAGGACATGTCTGCCAGATGTCCATCTTCTCCTCCTGCCCTGCCCAGGTAGCAGGATCTTTTAGCTAGAGAGTGGGGCTGGAGCAGCTTATTACTGGTTGTCAGGACTGTGTCTAACCAGCTTGGATATGTGGGAGGTGGGTGTAGTCTCCTGCCCAGACAGGGTCCTGCCCAACTCCTTGGACTGAGCCCCCTCTGTGTAATACCTCAGCTGTGTCCCCAAAAGGGAGGGCTGAGTGTGTCCCATGCACAGGGACATCACCCAGATCCACATCATTCCAGGCCTCACCTCCACATTGGTGCCCTCCTGGAAGGGGAAGGCTGATTCCCTGTGCTCAGCACCCCACTCCCCTTTGTCCTTGGAGTTGCACACAATGGTGTTCACATCCCCATGAGCATCAAAACGTGGGTTGAAGTGCAGCACTACGTTGGCTTGGTCTTTCCCTAGGTTCATCACAAAGCTGCAAGATAGAACAAACAAGTGAGATACTGGCAGCCTCATGCATGGCACCCTAGACTGTGGCAGCATCATACACTCTTACCTCTAGGGCCTGTGGCCTTGGTGGTCACCTCAATCTGACCAGCACCAGGTCAGAATTTGTATAGAGCCCTTCAAGAAAGCCCTAGGCTTCTGCAGGAGGAATTGAGGAATGAGTAGGGGGTGCTCTTTCCTCAGATGCACTGCCCCAGAAGAGTGCAGTCTTTTGGCTAGAGACAGAGGCCCTGGGTACTTGGATCCATGGCAATTTTCAGAAGAGTGGGGCGTTCGCCCTGATCAGCTTGGAAAATTGCATTCTGCGCCTTGAAGTCCCCCTGGGGTTTCAGTTGGGTGCTACATTCTTCCCTTCTTGTCCTAAGGAAGTAATTGTTGCTGTACCCCATTAAACAGCTGCCACCTTCCACCACAGAGGCAGCTGAAGGAAGCAGTTACCAACTTTTATTAATAAGCACCTCTCATCCCACAGGATCTTCCAGGGGAAGAGCCATTCTTCCCTATGGGGCCCCTCCCTCCCTTGGGGCCACCAGTCATGCAGACAAGATCGTACTGTTTAGGGAGAGGCAGCCCAGAAAGATGTGCACAGATGCTATCACACTTCAAAGGGAGCAGGAAGAGTTGGGACATGTTGCTCCTTGGAATGCCGGTCTGTTCCCAGGGTGAGAGCCAATCTCCCTTCCCACAAGGCAGGAAAACCCTGCCAACCACACACAGAGGGGACAGACTTGCTGGGTTTTGGTGGCCAGACCTGCTGGAGAGACTAGAGGCCCTCAGAGAGTAAGTCTACACAGCAAAAAAACCCAGAACAAACCAGAGCAGTTAATCTCAGAGCCTGGGTCTAGAGACTTGGGGTTGTGCTACGGCACTGAAAGATAGCCATGGAGATATTCTAGCTCAGATAGGAGAGTGGGTTTCAGAGCCCGAGTCACTGTCTCTATAGCCATTTTTAGACCTGTAGTGCAAACCTGAGTGTGGAGACCGGGGCTCTGGCCACAGGATTTATGAGGTTTTTTTAAATTGCTGGGTAGAGACCCCATGGGTACGTCTAAGCACCAATTCTATCAAGGCTGCCTCTGCCTGGCAGAGCTCCTGCAGATCCAGTTGCCCTCCTCCAACCAAAAGCCCCACCTGCCTGCTCACCACACCCTGAGAGAGGCTGTTTCCTTTCTTCACACAGAGCAGCTCCATTTCTCTTCTCTGCACTACAGGGGATGTGGTTGCTACCAGGGGAGGGGACTGGTGGACTTGCATCTGGTTTTACTTATCCTCTTGGCAGAGGGAAGGAAAAGATCGCCTCCATGTATATTGGGAAGTGACTCACTGGAAAGTGCAGCTTCAGGCATTAACCCTTTCAAAGCCACTCCCCTTTTCCACAGCAAGGGGGAATCCTTCCCTCCACCCCATAGTCAAGAAGGTCCTGCCATGTTCCCTAGACCCCTCTGTACATTTCCCCCGCACAGCATGACTTACCTCTTGGCACCTGCCGAGATTTCACCCTTCACACCAATGCGCTTTCCAGCCTTGATGCCCATATTGGTACAAACCATTCCCTGAGGAATCCAGAGAGGGACATGTTAGCCCCAGGGGTTCTGGTTCAGTTAGCTGCTCCCCTTCTGTACCCCACCCAGCCTGCAGTACAAAACAGGGCATGGGTATGGAAGAGAGACTGAGCCTTTTGGGGACAAGAGAAGGTGTTGGCACATTACTTCAGGCAGTGAGAGACAGGCACCACCACCCCACATGCCCAAGAATGCGTGCCAAAGACTATACCCCCTAGAGAGGTGACCTATAATGGTTGGGGCATTCACTGCTTCCCCAGCATAGTTACTGTAGGGGAATAGCTGTGAACATATTCACCAAGGGGGATGAAAAAAAGATCTTACCCCACCTGGCTTACCTCCACAAACGTGAGTCCTAAATGGCTCCTGAAATCTAAGCCAGGCTACACACCCCTTATGCAAAAGGGGCTCTAGCCACACCCAGCTCCCCTCACTTAGCAGCTCCCAAGTCTTCACACACTAGTCCAGCTGCATTGGAGTGGAAGCCCCTTTGGTTAGGGAGCACAGACTCCCACACACTGGTTACAGCCCTGTTGTGGGTTGGTTGCAGCTGAAGCTTTTGCCCCAGGCTAGCTACTGTGAAGCATGATTTTGTATGGTGGGGTGGTCCAAATGGGGTTGTCTGCATCCGCCGGGTGACTCAAGTGGTACTAACTGGCTCCTTGTTGCAGCCTCAGAGCTAGGATTGGAGTGGGCACGTGTCCTTGAACTCACTCCTGCAGAACTGCTCCCCCAGGCAAGGGCTGACCATGAGGTAACTGCCAACTGTGCGGGCCCTGCTTTGTGGCCAGAACCCCTCTGCCCCACCCAGTTTCTCAGCCCTTGCAGATCAGTAACTTTACCAGCCTAGAGGTTCTCTGAACTGCTCTTCCTCCTCTGCACCACTAGGGAAGCAGGAGAAAGAGGGCTACCTGCCCAAGACCAGAGCCTCAGCAGGAGAGTCATGCCCACACCCATTCTAGAACTGCCTGGAGCCACAGGGTTCTGATGAGGACTGCAAGGTGCTTTCACAGTGGCTCAGACATGTCACCCCCTCCCAGGCCCAGCCTCCTAGCTGTGGACTCATTGTGCAGCTTCCAACATACAGGGTTGTAGCCACACACCCCTCTCTGCCCCCAGCAGCCAATGAGCAAACAATACCAACTAGCTGGAACAGAGTCCCTGGGCACAATCTATGCATCTGGGCTGCACTGGCTGAAGTCATTCCTCCTCCCACCACTCTAGGGAAGAGAAAGGAGAGAGAGAGAGTATTTCCTAGTCATCCCCCCTGGGGGGGGGTGGGAGAAGAGAGAGACCAGTAGGAACAACAACCCCTCTGGTATTAGCACCTTCAAGCAATGCCCTTGCAGACACTCCCAGTTACAACTCCACCCCGCTGGTCCCTTCACCCTCAGACACCTTTGAAAGCAGGTTAAAAATCAAGAACTTTCTGAAAGTTTCAGGCCACAAGTACAAGTAGTGGGGGTAGGTATTCTAGGCATAGGATGTTCAGAAAGAGCCAGCTGTTGTTACAGTAGTATCCCATCTGCGGGTAGGAAAGGGGGAAGTTGCTAGGAGGCATCATGTCAGCCTTGAGGCAACTCTGAACTACTTCCCACCCAAAAACCCCCACCCCAAAACCCAGCTTCCCCCATGAAAGGGGCAGGGAAGAGCCTTCCTGGGGAAGCAGAGACAGACCCCACTGCTCTCATCAGAGATCAGTTCTTGTAAAACAGCATCACTACCCCACCCTCCTCTTAGATTACAGGACATTAAAAGGGGACTGCACAGCCCACCACCCTTTCAGGCAGCACAGACAACCCCTCAGCAAAGCCCCCACAACTCCCTCCAGCTTGCCAGCAGTAGTCACCCTTTGCAATGCACCACTGATTTCATCCCTCTATTCCTGCAGCCAACACCCCAGGCACAAGCCTGCCTCCCCCCTCCCTCCCCCTTCACTCACACAAGACATGGTGGTGGTCGTCTTCTCTCTCCCTCCAGCTACCAAGATCTATCAAACAGATGTGGGCAAGTACTGTGCTGCTCCCATGCCCTTAAATAGTTGGGCAGCTGATGAGTCATACACTGAGTCACCCCTCCCTTCAGCCAATCAGAAATAGCTGGGGGGGGGGCTTGGAATTTTGATGATAGGTCACACCCTCCCAAAAGCTATCAAGGCAGAGCTTTCTCCCCAGCCTCTGGATGCTAAACCCCACCTTCCCCAAGCAGCCAGCCAGTCACTGGAGTCAGATCCAGCTCCAGTGGCCACAGAGCCAGTGGAAAATAGCTTTAGGATGAGAGTGTTTTAAACAAAAATCCAAGATGTTTAAACAAAAATATCCCAAACCGTTAAACTGTATGAGAATTGGCAGGGTGGGGCGGGGCAGAGCTAGATCCTTCATTCCAGACAGCCTTGGGTGGCTAGAAGCACCAGAACCAAAGTGGTGCACGGGGACCTGGAAGCGGTCCATGCAAAATGAAATGGGAGCTTCTCTGCCTATCCAGAGAGCATTGGGGCAGGATCCTTGGGATCTGAGCTCCATTCTCAGCTCCTGACATTGTGGTCACCAGTGCACACCCAACTACATTCCAGATCCATAGAGACTTCTGTCAAGTTAGGGGGGACGAGAGGTGTAACAGCTGGGAGGCAAGTGACTCCAACTCAGCTGTCCTGCATGGTGCATGCCCACAGCCATTCTGGGGGGACAGGGGTGAAGCTTTCTAGGGCACACAGTGCTTGTGCAGATCTGTCCCGAATTTCAAATCCACCCCTGAGTAAACAGTGTCGGTAGCATTGTGCCCAGCCACAATGGACCGTTCCCATAGGTTCTGCACGTTATTTACCACATCAGGTTCGGTCCATGTGAGGGTGATTCGTTGTGGAGTGAAAGGGTTGCTCTGGAAAAAGTTACTTCATTGCAAAACGGCTCAACTATAATTAAATCTAAAGAACAGAGTGAATCTAGGCAGCTGGCCAAGCCTCTGCTCTTGTGGCTTACGGCTTCGCTTGTATTTTTTTGTTTCTAAATCACAAGGCAGGCTGAGAGGCTCCTTCAAGAGTCCCAGACCTTAAATGCACGCGCGCTCACTCTCTGAGAGGCTCTCAATGCCCCTGTTTACTGTGTACAGAAGTCTGGAAACCCCCATAATGGCTGCCATCTCCCCCACAAGGATAAAATTAACTCTAGAGTCTATTCAATTCCTTGATAATAGGGGTCAGGACAGAGGATCATCAGCAGAGCTGGGAGGGAGGACTCAGGACTGGGATAGCAGGAGGGGCTGCAGGTCAGGAATCAGGCATCTGGGCAGAGCTGTGGTGTGGTGCAGGGCAGGATTGGTACAGCAGGAGGTATTGTAGTGCAGGAAAGAGGCACCATGGCAAAGATGTTGGACTGCTGCAGGTCAGGGCTGTGGTGCATTGGCAGAGATCTGCATATGTGTAGGTGCTGGGGAGGGCAGGGGGACCTCGGACATGCTGCAGGGCAATAGATACCCCCAACCCTGAAAGAATCAGCTACTCCTGGGCCAAAACGGTGGGAATGCTGTCGCCTTTTATATTCAGTCGCAGGCTCCTCTTTGCTGACCCCCCCTCACGAGTCAAATAGCAGAGCTTTCAGCAGATGCCAATGATAAAAGTCAGCCCCTGGCTGCACCTCCCTGGGGTGACTCATCCGAATATGACTGCGCATAGAAATTGAATTAGCAGCTGCAGGAGAGCCTGGTTGATTCTATGCCATGGACACAATCAGCCAGACTCAATAATAGAAACAGTGTTACCAGAGGATGAAAGAGAGAGGCATGATTTCCCCAGTGTGGCTGGGGAAAGAATGGGCCCAATTCAGTGAGACTGTATGAGCATGCCAAGCTACACACGCGCTGCCATAGTGTAAGAAAAAGACAGGCCTCCTCAGTGATTGCCCTTGACTCCAGGGTGTCACCCCAGGACTGGCCTGGGACCAGTGTGTTTGGGAGAGAGGCTCAAGAAAGAGCAGAGGGTGTGCCATTCCCCTTCCCAGCCAGCACTGGGCAGAGCTCCCTTCCCACCTCCAAGGCAGAGCAGATGACAACATGCTTTTGAAAATGCACCTCTTCTGGGAGATGGCACTTCCCCTAGCAGGGGACTGATTTGTGTCTCATTTTCTCCACAGCTCTAAAACCTCCCTTTACAGATGTAAATGTCAGGGCCCAGCTGCTCAACAGCTGGATTTTGCCCTGCTCTTTCCTGGAAGGGGCTCGGCAAGGCTGATGGACAGGAGGCTATGGCTATACAAGAAATAGCTGCACACAGGTTCCTGGACATTAGATACATTGCATTTGCCTCCTGCCCCTCCCCACAGTCATCTAGTCAGACCCCATCTAGTTACCCAATGTCTCAGCCATGCCCATTTGCTTGTTCTTGAAAGGGTTCCTTGGTTATACCCTCTCACCCACCCCCACGGGGGGACTCTCCTTCTGGCAAGGAGGGCTGCATGCCACCCTTCCTTTCATCAGCCACAGGGAGGCAGTTCCTGGCACATGTTGCTAAGCCTTGTCACTCCTGAGCTGCCTGCACAGCACCCCCAGCCCAGAACAGCGTGGGGCCCTTCCCTCCCTTCAGATGTAGTTTGCAGATTGAAAGGCGCTGAAAAACCATCTGCCCAGCTGTTGTCACAACCACCACCGTTGTGGTGTGAAGCGTCCCGCCTCTTCTTCAGCAAGGGCTTGTCCTCAGTGCCAGTGGCCAGGCTGCCCCGGTTACCAACGTGTGGGAGACCATTCGACAGCTGGGAGAGACCAGCGGGTGAGGCTGCCTACCCCTCAGGAGGCCGTATTCTCTAATTGCTTGGCGAACCCACGCCAGCCCCGCATTCTCAGGGGTCTAAATTGAGCTCAGCACTTGTAAAAGGTGCTGCCCAAGTGCTGGGCGGCTGTATCACCCACAACAAATAGGGCCAGTGCAAGCTTCCCCTGCACACCACCCTGCCCATATGCCTCAGCCCCGCTGCGAAGGAATGTCCTTTGGGATGAGCAGGGAGTTCCTCCTCTGTGCTCCATTCTGCCCTGGGCTTTGGAGGTAGGAATGTTAACAAGGGGGCAGATCACTGGACACAAGTCTCCCTAGGACGTGAACATTGCAGCTCATTGCCGTCCCGATGGCTGAAGTTCTCCATTCCTGCCAGTGGGCGCCAAAGAAGGCCAGCTCAGGGTTGCACTTTAATATGTACAGACAGATGGAGAATGGCAGAGGCACTTCACGGGATTAAAGGGGTGAACACAACCGCAGGATCCCCCCTAGACAGGGCTGTTCTAAGCCGATAACAGCTGAATGCAGCTCTGCATCTGCCTCAGTTAAGTCAAGGCTGTGTGTGCGTGTGCGTCACTGGAAAGAGATGGGTAAATGCACCAACATAGAACAGCAAAGCTGGGCCTTATCTCATGTCATCTAATTTCCATGCAGTCTCTAGCAGCTGCAGGATGCTTTTAAGATCAACAATAGCTGATAAGTCATGTGACCACTGGGTGGCAAAGCAGCTACATTTGCAGGGTGAAGAATCCTCCTTCAGCAACAGAAAGTCCCCAGCACCTATGGGCAGGGTGACCCCAGGCAGCAGGAGGAGATGGCAAGGGGACCAGCTGGATGCAGTGACTGCCCCGTCTCCACCAGCTGTATTCTCAGATGCCCAACTTGCTTTTGGCAGGTCTGCCCTATCCCCACACTAGGCTCCATAGTGAGCTCGGTCCTGGCAAGAGGCACCAGTTCAGTGGTCTGGGGGACCTGAGAGTCCTCTCTATGCACAGCACGGGAACAGGACAAACAGCAAAACTGCCGGCTTCCCACATATATCACCCACTGTAGGGGACACGTACAGGCTAGAATGGGGAATTCACTTGAGCTCCGGCCACCTTTAATGTTTCTGCTCGGACTGTCGCTAAGGGAGGCAAGTGGGCTAAGATTTCCAAAAGTGACTAGCGATTTTGCGTGCCTTGGTTAAGAGGAACCCAACTTGAGACAACTTTAGGGGGCCTGATTTTCAGAAAGTGCTGAGCACTCAGCCTCTGCAAATCAGACCCTGCTAAGATGCCACACGTCCCTAATTAGGTACCCAGAATCACAAATAACTTTGGCAGATCTTGGCCTTAGCTGGTGAATGGGGTTTACGTGGCATAGCCACCTACTGGAGGTGGACTGAGACCACCAACAGCCTTGACAACAGAGGTTGTGCATCAAGTCCCACAACTATTCCAGAGCAAACAACAAAAGAAAGAGAGGGAAAGCTGCACTTCCTAATTCATTCTCCACATAGGACACTGCCCCATGGGATGAGGGCAGCCACAGGACCCCTTCTTTACCCCCATTGCCACATGCTCCTACAACCACAAAGACAAGCTCGACCCAGCTCCCTCAGGAGGGCTTGTCGCTGGGAAGTGAGGCAAGGTTTCTCCCTGCCATACCCCCCACCCCAGCTCCTTTGAGGTTCCCATTGATCAAGAACAGAGAGATGGGTCCAGTCCAGCAGAGCCTCTCTTGAGGCACCTTCCCCAGCGAGAGGATGCTTTGCAATTTGAAAACAGCTGAAACATCTTTTAGGCAGCAGCAATTGCCCTAACCACGACATTTGGCTTTCCTTTATCCTGTGGCCAGGGTATCCCAGGTACTCCACAATGAGAGGAGACAGCACAACCCTCAGCAGGAGGTGGCCCCACCCTCTCCCCAGATTGCACTCTCTTAGCCACCCTTGCACACCGCTTGGCAATGCACACCAACCTCCTATATGGAGGTCAGCGCTTACGAAACTTGTCAGGCTGTCAGCACGACGACCTGGACGGCTCTGTTAATACACAGAACGGGTAGTGGCAATGCAAGCTCCCCACATGCACCCTCCTCTGCTGGCCAACATGCCTCACCCCTGTTCTGGAGGAACCATCCATCGGGCCGAGCAGGGAGTTCACACTTCATGGCCCATGCTGCTGTTGGCTTTGTGACTGATGCTGCCAATGAGGGGGCCGGTTAGGCCCAGACCCTCAAAGGTATTTAGGTGCCTAACACACTGATTTCACACAGAAGTGAGGTGCTGATATACCTTTGAGGATCTGGATCTTAGTACCTACTAA